GTTTTTCAGTGTTCTTATGAAAGTAAAGGCATTGTCAGCATTCAGACCATTGACATCGAGTCAGGAAAAACTCATTTCAAAAGATTATTGCACTATTTCATCAAATGCAAGTTAAAGAGTTCCACATTCAGTGACCTACTTCCTTACCCTGCCTTCGTCTATATGATGTTTTGACTACGCTGCAGCTTTCCAGCCTGTGTTATTGATTTTTATCTCAGTCTTATTTCTATTGGCAGGTTGTTCTAAGAGAAAAAGAAAAGGCAGGAGTAGGTTATAAACTGGGACTGCACCCCGATAGTGCACCGTAAGCAGTTTCTGGGCACCTCTGAAGTGGGCCTGCAAATGCTGGGAGCTCCAACTCTCTGGCTGTGATAACACCTTCTATATTTGGGTGTGATTTATCTCATGTGTTGGGTTGAGATATCTAAAGTGTAATCAACTAATTTAACTCCAGCCCCACAGCTGGCACCCCACATCTCTGATAAACCGTTTTTAATGGGGGGACGTTTCGCTGACAAAAGGTTTTGCTCCTACTCCACACCCCGCACGTTTTATGAATTTTCAGGACTGGAACTTCTGTATGACATTGCTTTGAATGATTTCCTTAAAAAAAAAAAAGTTTGGTTCTCAACACACAGAACTAGATGGCTTTGTGAACTGTCTTTTCCCTTAGTTTCAGTACTTATTTTTTCATTGTCATTTAACGGAAATGCCTTTGATCTTCTTGGTATCAGGATGGGTTCTCATTCCTCCCAGCTTCAAGGATGCAGAAGTGAGATTGTGCACGGTTGTTGCAGAGAGGTGGACCCTGCTACTGGGTGCCCCCAAAGAAATGGGAACCTTTTATCTGGAGCATTATTCTGCCTGTGCGGAGGATGATTATAACATCTCCCAGAGTGATTGAAGATTTTTTTCTCTCTGATGTGCCTCTTGATATTCCAAATGCTGATCATGCTGTTTAAAGTATCTTTAATCTATTCATTTCACTGACCCCAGAGAGAGTGATCATGTTCAGAGAAAGGTGCATTTCTTAAAAAAATATCAAGCAAATAACAGACCCAGTCATGGATACCTTACTCAGGTTTCACATTTACTCGTGGTGGGATCTTGAAAGGCCATCTGCTGCTCATTTTTAAGGAACCTGAAGATATGGATCAAAGACATTGAAAAAGGAAGGGGATTTCTTTTCATTTCACATCTATTCACTTGCCTCTTCCACAGACCTCCTTGTCGCAGGTCTTCTAATTTTTTTAAAAAAATATATATCTTTATTGATTTCAGAGAGGAAGGGAGAGGGAAAGAGAGATAGAAGTATCAATGAAGCCGAAACCGGTTTGGCTCAGTGGGTAGAGCGTCGGCCTGCAGACTGAAAGGTCCCAGGTTCGATTCCGGTCAAGGGCATGTACCTGGGTTGCGGGCATATCCCCAGTAGGAGATGTGCAGGAGGCAGCTGATCGATGTTTCTCTCTCATCGATATTTCTAACTCTCTATCTCTCTCCCTTCCTCTCTGTAAAAAATCAATAAAATATATTTAAAAAAAAAAAAAAGAAGTATCAATGATGAGAGAGAATCATTGATTGGCTGCCTCCTGCATGCCCCCTACTGGGGATCAAGCCCACAATCCAGGAATGTGCCCTTGACCGGAATTGAACCTGGGACTCTTCAGTCCACAGGCTGACATTTTATCCACTGAACCAAATCAGCGAGGGCTAATTTTGTTCTTTCTGGGCCCCCAACCAAGACATCTACTGCTGAGTCTGTATATATTCTTACCTTGGGCCATTTTCCCCCACACAAAGTGTTGATAGCAAATAATAATAGTAAAATAGTAAAAACATAAAATTGTATTGTACAACTCTAGACACATACATTTTAAAAAAGTTTGAAATAGTTCTCTCAAAAATGTGTATGTATATCATGGTTTGATCCAAGAAGAAGTAGAAAATGTGGAAAGATTAATAACTATGGATGCTACCAAAAAAGTTGAGAGAAAATTAGTTCCAAAATTGCCACCGAGGGCCTAATGATTATAGAGTTGAGTTTCTTCAAACTTTTAAGAATCAGATAATTCCCAGGCTAACACACACACACACACACACACACACACACACACACACACACATACACACACATTTTGCAAATAAATTTAGAAAAGTGCTGTTCATGCACTTAGTATTCTTTTGGGTAATATTGATTGGCATTGGTGTGCTGATATTACCCATGCCTTCTGCAGTGATAATGAAAAAAGATTCCAGGACCAGGAGAGAGCTTGGGGTCCGAGGTTGGAATGATTGAGGAATACGAAGGCAGAGGCAGTTCCCACAAATTCTGTAAATGCCCAATATTAACTGCTTAGATAAGATGGGTAGGACCACCCTCAGACCCTCATAACATTCTGTGCATATCTCAGTTTACTGGTTGTATCCATTCCCTGATTATCCATTTTATGGTTAAGTCACTCACCAGAGGTGATCTTGAGGGTAGGCAATGAGTCTTATTCTTCTTTACATCGCTAGTGCTTTTACAGTGCTTGCCCTAGATAAGTCCTCAGTTACATGTTTATGAATAAATGGGTAAGTGAATTAATAAGTGAACAGAAAGGGATTCCTTTCATTTTCTGAAACCAGCAGAAACATTGATTTTAAAATAGAACCAAAAAGAAGGGGATTGAGTTAAATCATTTATGAATATGTATGCAGAATCCCAAATGAAATTCTAGCTAACCAAATTCAACAGTACATTAAAAGAATCATCCACTATGACCAAAGAGAGTTTATCCCAAAACCACAAGGAGGGTTTTCTATTAAGGAAACTATTGCTGGCAGTATGGGTATGTGCAGTGTTACAACCATTTTGGAAAGCAATCTAGCAATATCTATTAAAGTTTAAAAAGATGTATTTCTTTTGAGTCAGGTATGCCACTCCTGGGGGTCCATCCCAGCAGAACTAAAAGCACAAGTGAAATAAGTAAAAGGACATATGTACAACACTGTTCATTGCTGTGTGGTTCATCGTGGCAAAACAGTGGCAACTAAGTTAATGGCCCACCGAGGGGAAGAGCTGAGTATAGGATGGTACACTCCCACTGTAGGGTTTTATGCCAACTTTCAAGAGAATGAATTAGAGCTAGTTCATGTGATTTCCACAAAGTACTATTGGATGATAGAAAGCAAGGTGCATTAAAGTATATATTAGAAGATCCCATTTTGCCAAAACATAAAAACCAAACCCCAAAAAGCAAAATGAAAACCAACAAATTCCTGTATCTGTATATGTCCTAGTAGAAGAGTTGTGAATGATATTACTTCTTTTGACTTTGGTTTCCTTCTTTGAACAGCGGGGTGATGATAATGTCTATTTTATAGGATTTTTTGGGAAGATTAAATGAGTTACATAGAAAGTACCTGAGAAATATTAAGCTATGATGATGATGATGATGTTCCTGGACTTGAATAGAATATGCAGAATTCAAAGAAAATATATGGAAGAACACATACTAGATTGTTAACCCGGTTACTTTATGAACCAGTGAGGGGCTGATGTGGGTTCAAGAGAGAAGGAAGTTCCAATAAATAAGGAAAATAAAATAAATGTATGTTTCACATTTATGCATTTAATTAAAATTACGGCACACAGAATTGTGTATAAAGAAATAAAATTAAAATACTTGTAAGAGGAATACAACTATATCAAATCAATAAACCTAATAAGAAAAAATGCTATAAAATAATGTATGCTGAAAAGGCACTTGCTAAAATTTAATACCATCTCTTCTTAATTTTAAGTCCAAGAAAACTTTGAAAGGTGTTTATGTAAAGATATAAACACCAGCCATCATTGACCCTGAAGGAAAAATGTAACAGCAGGGTTTCTCCAAGTGTATTTTCCAGAATGCTAATTCCACCAGTGGAATAAAAGAATTCTGTAGTGCAATGATTTGGGGACAGGCTGCTCACAGGTAGCCCACACCTGAATCAATGAATATCAGCATGGCAAAGATCTAAGTACTTTTTGACCTTTAGATTCTAGGTAAAATGCCTCTTTTTCAGAGGAACCTCCCCAGCTGTGTTACTTCAGGTACACCCTGTCCTTTTATTCTCTAGCACACTGCGCTGTTTATTTCCTTCCATTCTAGCCAATAATTAGGAGAACTTCACTGAAATGCAGTGACATCGTAAGAAATTTCTCCTTATGTGTCTTAGTTCTACGTATTGTTTAGACCAGAGTTCCAGTGAGCGAATCACTAACATTTTTCTACTTAAGGAATTTCTGAAGAAGTTTGCTCATAAATATCAATTTCTGTGGACATTGGGCCGAGAGTCATGATTATGTAACTCTCATTGTATGGATTGCTTGTTTGAGAGGTACTGGCTCTCTGTGGAATTTCGTGCCTCAGTTTTCCGTACTTGCAAGAAGGAGGCAATTATTCTCGAAGCTTATCTTTCCCAGAAGTGTTTTGTGCGCGATAGAACACAGTTTTATGAAGCCCTTGGAGTTTCCCTGATGGAGTGACACTGACATTGGCATGACAGTGTTGTGATTGCTATCAGTGTTCAAAGGCCACTTTTCTTTCTTGTGTTTAACTACAAAGACTCAAGTGTAGCCAAACAGCTAACTTATCTCTTATCTTTCTGAGCCCTCTGTGTTAAGATCTGTTTAAACCCGAGACTTTATTTCCTTTCTCTTTTTGGTAGTTGAGGTCGTCAGGAGAGGTTTTCAAAATTGAAAGGATTTCTTTATTTCCCGCCCCTCCCCTCTTGTGATCACAAAATTACTGTGCTTAGCTCATGCTCGAGCAGAACTCCAGAGGAGATAAAATGTATGTTTGCCCCTAATCAGCTGGGCTGACTTTCTGTGTTGTGCCTCAGTGATTAGAGGCACAGTCCAATTTTTTGATGGCTGGCATTTCTACTAGCTTCCCTGGGAGAAAAATCTCTGTGTACTGAAGTGGTAACTACAGATGGGCTGTTTAACCATCTCAGTATTCTTTCTCCTCCAGGTCCTCATGAACATGGAAGACATAAAAGTCCGCGAAATGCAGATTTTTGACTACAAAAAGAAAATCGCTGAATCAGAGACTAAATTAAAACAGCAACAGAACCTGTACGAAGCTGTGAGGTCAGACAGGAATCTGTACAGCAAAAACCTGGTGGAAGCTCAGGTATAGAATGTATTTATGTCTTTATACTTTGATTCCTCCCCATCCTGGGTTCAAAGCAATTTCTATCATCCTAATAGCAGAATTTAGAATAGATCAAGAAAATAATCTTGTGGAATTCAACTGAAAAAAAAAAAAGATGAATTATATGCAGAACTCTCAGATTGTTTGAAATGGAAATGACTCAACTTGATAGGATGTGAATATCTCAGTCTGGCTTTTAATTATTATGTAGTATTCCATTCTCCTGTTTCTAATTTTTAAAGCTGCTAATAGCTGCCGTGACTCAGAGGGGAGCAGTGTACTCTTGTCATTTAATTGCAGAGCTTTGCTTTGTAATCTTTTAGTTATAATGTTTGCAGTGATTCCAATTCTTCTCTAGCAAAATGAGGAGTAAGTGTGTGTGTGTGTGTGTGTGTGTGTGTGTGTGTGTCTGGCATAGTCATTATACAGACTTTGTATATATCTCATGAGAATATTTTGAGAGTTCCTGCTATAAAGTACAGTGAGGTTGATGGCACAGCATACGAAGGAATAGCCCAGTCATAAGTAGTCAGGAGACCACTGTTTTGAAAGGGCCTCCCTTAAAAGTGCTTGAATGTGCATTTGAACTTCCATAGGGACTGTGGTGTCAATTTACTTCACTTCCAAACACTTCTCCTTTCATTTTGTTAGGATGAAATAACAGAAATGAAGAAAAAATTAAAGATTATGACTCATCAGGTAGATCAGCTGAAGGAAGAAATCTCTGCCAAAGAGGCAGCGCTCGTGAAGCTACATCTGGAACAGCAGCGCATAGAGAAGGAGAAGGAAACATTGAAGGTACAGCTCTTACAATGAAAGTGATGGACTAATAGTCCCTCTAGTCAAGGCAGGCTATGCGCTCGCCTAAGGCAACAAGGGGCAGGGAGGACAGCCAAGGTGCCAGGAGGATGAGTTCTGCCACCTCTAGGTCAGGCTACCTTACAGGTAAACAAGGACGAGGCCAGTGGAAATGCACAAACACCTGGTTCAGCTGTGTTGGCTATCATCATCACATCAGCAGAAGAGAACCTAGCAGGTCAGCAGTGCCTAAGAAGTCCTGGAGCTTGCAGGCTTCCCACAATCCCTTTGCATTGACAACCCAGGCCCAGCCCTCCTACTCTCCTCCCTGGGCCTTCTGTAAGGCAATGTTGGCAAGACCCTTTGTCCCTCCGCTCCTAATTGCTGTCTACTTCACGTGTGCGTGACTTTCTGCCTGCAGTATCGTTAGCTATTGGGTTCTCACTTGATTTGCCCTCAACTCAGGTTCACAGTTCACCTTACCTCTTTGGATCTAAAAATTTTGCAGCAACTCCTCCAGGGAATCACCTCTGATTTTATATATATATAATTTAAATCTACTAATTTAGGACATTTTATGTCTGCTAACATAAAGATTATCTTTAAGAATACATACCAAATGATTATACCATTTCAGATTCTTGAACCAAATACGTTTTACTATACACATTTACTAAACCTAATATATTTTCCTTTTTTATTCAATCCAGATTTCCCTTCTAATCAATTTGACCAAAGAATTAAAAAAGGAACTTTTGAGAAGATGATGGCACTTTTATTTTGAAAATATACATGCAGAATACCCATGGATGCTTATGAGCCACTTGCAGGAACTATCTATAACAAACAAGAGAACTGAATACCTTGTTTTTCTGTGCATATTAGCCTGCAGAGTGTATCAGATTATCTTGAAAATGTGTAATCAGATTTAATACACATATCCTTGTATTGGATAGATTTAATGCCATACAACCTTGATTCCAAGATGCCATCAACTGAAATATGCACTCTCAAAATGGGTTTTGTAAACTAATGATAGGTCTTCATGGAACTAGAACTACTACATTACGTTAAATCAAGGCACATTTGGTTTGAGAAAGATTAACATGTAAGAAAGGCATCTTTACAAAAAATATGTAATTTATACATTTGCCTGTCTGAGACTTTCATCTCCCAACTCAAGTTTATGATAAAAAATAATAGAAGATTCTGCATTAAAATTGATATTTATATAAAAAAACATGAATACATTTTCTAAAATTTGAAACTTTCCTGCATCTTTGCTCTTACTGTCCTTGTTCTAAGACTTAGTTTTATAGAAGTTATCTCGTTCCACTCTGAAGCCTGTAGTGGAAATGGGTTTATTTATCATTAAATTATTTAGAAGAATCTTATTATAAACATTGCTTTACCTGTGGGCCTCATGGACCCATGTTAGCCAGGCATCAGTATAACTTGATCTAGTACACTACCTCTTTCCTTTTCCAGGATGGCATTAATCCTCATCTCTTCCTTTCCCAAGTAATGCTCTACTAGTATTCAAAAGATTAATTATTAACCCATGCTTATGTCCAAGGTGGAACTAACTGCCTTCTACAAATCCTGTTTTAGAATAAGCAATGTCCTATGCAAAAGAGCAATTTTTCCTAATTCTTTAGTGTTTGACTTCGGTTAACATTGGCTTCACTTATGCATTCCATCACCAGGCATCCACACATATAGCTCCAAAGAAGCATCATAATAAAATAAAACAAAGGTCAATAGGGCCCTGTTTTTTGGTCCTGGTCCAGCAGAGCTGGTGAATATGAAATGAAAGGTGATTAAAGAGCTTCTGCTCCAGAGAGTCTGCTCTAAATGGGGAATCCTGGGTCTGCATAGCTCTGGGTCATCAGTTATAGTAAGATGATTGCTTTGGACGTACTGTGAAACTATGATACCTTTCCCCCCCAGCATTTCCCATTAAGGCAGAGAAATGAGTAACAGAAAAAGATGCCAGCTTGATTTATGATTTGAGGTTATCCAAGGGTGACTTGCAGTGTGCTTCGACTGGGTACTTCTGGCCTATCATTAAGCCCATTTGACATTCTGTAGAAAAATATGACAGCTCAAATGTTGAGTCTGAGCCTCTTGACTTTTTAGCCTCAAATTTGAATCATGTTCCACACAGGTCTCTGGATTTCATGCATCTGTAGTTCAAAAACCAAAACCCCGAGGGAAAGGACAGATTTTCTAGTAACTTTGCTCCAAGAGACATTTAGCTTATTATTGTGAGTTCTACAAAGCTATGTGGGTACATAATCCTCCTGGAAGGCCGGCCCTCTTACCCGTTTGGTAGACTAGGAGATGCCTTTTGACAGGATAATACAATTTATTACTTCTCCAAGCCAACAGATAAACAGTTGCCTATAATAGGTCATCCCCATTCTCATTTAACCCCCTCAAAAGAAAAAATCTTGCTCCTTTCATGTTTCTTTTCCCTTTTAAGTTGCTACCAGGCTCTACTGACTCCTCAGGACACTAGCCATTGTCAGCACATTAGGGTTATGACAGAATGTCAATAGTTCTCGGTGAACGTGGCTGCATCCAGTCTGTCCCAGTCTTGTTTCATCAGCACTGAAGGAGCCAGCTCATCTGGAGTGTCTGCTCTCTAGTCCTAACAAGCCCCCGATTCTGTCTCGTCACCTCCCAATCATCCCACATCAATCTGACAGCACTTTGATTCCTGGCGAAAAATTCAGTGGCAAATTCTCTATGTCCAGAGCTGAGCATCACATTAGTGACTGACTTCAGGGCACCACATCCCTTTTACTTAGTGGACTCTAGAATGACATAGACGGGGACTATCAGAAAGAGAGGGAGAGTGAGAGGAGAGAGAGAGAGAGAGAGAGAGAGAGAGAGAGAGAGAGAGAGAGAGAGAGAGAGAGAGACAGACACTAATTATTCTCATGGCTGGACAGCTTCATGTGCCCCTATTTGTTTGGTTAGATGTAAATGCATGACTTCTGTGAAGCCCAGTGAATATCAGGATCATGTATGAATGGGTGAAACTTTCACAGTTGTGGTTCTGGAGATATGATTTATGCCTTCAACCAAGTTAGATGGTGAATATTCCATAATCACCTATTACAAAATGGTATAATTACAGAGGCAGTGACTAAAAAATGTGTCCAGCCACCATATTACAACTTGGCACCACTTTGAGAAATGCTGATACCTTGGGCTCCACCTACAACATTGCTTGATGGGTGTTTGGGTGCAGAGCAGTTGTTACCAACTTTTCTGGGTGAGACAGCTCAGATTGATAGCTGCTAAATGCATTAGACCAAAGGTATTGTGTTGATGTTAACATTTGCTGCCAACACCTAATGGCACATCTTGTTTACAGCCCATAAATTTGTGACATAAGGAGACCATTTAGAATTTTGATATATTATGAAAAAACACACCCAGCAATGCCAAACGCACTAGTGGTTTTATATTCCAGACAAATACTTTTACACACCACTGATTGCATTTTAATAGAACAGGGATTTCATTTTGTTCTGCTGATGGATTCTGATCAGCTCTTGGCACTTAAGAACAGGGAAGTGAATGTTACACATCTGGGAAAATAAAAGTTTTATTAAAGAAAGCATGAGCCAAGCAGGTATTTTATTGCTGTCTTCGCTGTCACCTTAAATGATTATAGAAATCGAAAGGCCGGTTCTTCAAACGCTTTCCTAACAGGCAATCCCCCAAAGTGGTAAATACTAAACCAGATATTTTCTCAGTACGTATTTCCTTTTGCTTATCCCTGGACCAGAACGTATTTCATGAGTGAACAAACAGAGTGTCATCAGAGAAGCCCTTGGTTTCATAGTAGCTGACTGCATTTAGTTTGTGACATTACACATTACACATTTGCGGCATCGCACAGGATCTTCTACTGCTTGGATAAGTTTGAAGTAAGGAGTTAATGACTCTTGCTCTTCATGGATTAGAGACAGACCTTAGGAAGAGTTGGGGTGGCTCACGGGCACTTACAAATATGGGGTTTTCTAGCATCCCAGTGAGATTTATGAGTAGGGAGGGTGGGGCTGCCAATATTTCCTTGAAAGAAAATCTTACTGCTTTTTCACTGTCATTTGCTGATCTGCAAGCCATTGAAGAGTTGGAACCTTAATATGGTCTTGCGATCTCCCTTGTGATTCTCAGTATGGGTAAAACAGAGCTCTCCTCCCATGTGTTTCTTCTTGTGCTCACCTGGTCTGTGACATCACCTGTCTTCCCAATGTGGGCCTGGATACCTCTATGGCTCCCCATTGCCGACACTGTACGGTGTGTGGCCTACAAGGCCCTTCCAGGCTGGCTCAGCTGTTTGACCAGCCTCACCCCCTGCTGTTCTTTACCTAACACTCTAATCCAGCCACATGGGATGTTTTGCTGACTGGTGAGTGCACCGGGCACTTTAGAGTTTGCATGTGCCTTTGTTCACACAAGCCTGACTGCAAGCTACTCTCCCCATAAAATAGAGTCGTCCCCTTTGGGAATATCTGTTACCTGCCAAGGCCCTGACTGGTTATTTCATCTAAACGCCAGGCAGAAATAGGAACTTACTCCTGTGTACCCCCATGTCCTTTTTCATACTGTTCATAACATTTTGACACTGTAGTGTGGTTGGTTATATTTATCATCTCCAATGGATGGAGCAACCCTCAGGTCTTACTCTCCTGTGTTTGACTTGGATGTGTTGTGTGATGATAGCTTTGGGGCCAAAAGATCCAGGTTGGGCCGAAACCGGTTTGGCTCAGTGGATAGAGCGTCGGCCTGCGGACTGAAAGGTCCCAGGTTCGATTCCGGTCAAGGGCATGTACCTGGGTTGCGGGCATATCCCCAGTAGGAGATGTGCAGGAGGCAGCTGATCGATGTTTCTCTCTCATCGATGTTTCTAACTCTCTATCTCTCTCTCTTCCTCTCTGTAAAAAATCAATAAAATGTATTAAAAAAAAAAAAAAAGATCCAGGTTGGAATCTCAACTCTGCTATGTACTAGCTGTGTGACCTTGGGTGAGTTGATTTGCTTTTCTTTGTCTCTGTAATTGCATTTGTAAAATGGGAATACAAGTAGCTATGCAAAATACCCAATATCATGCCTAGGATATTGTAGGCTTCTGTAGGTCACAAATATACTTGTGGAAATGAAGTGAATGTATTCTTTGAAGAGAGGAATTTTCCTTCTGAAACTTAGCAGACCATAACACCCTTTCTCCATCATTCTTATGAGTTCCGTGTAACCTAAAGAGCTGCAAGATCTGCATTTAGTTCCAGGAAGTTTTCCTGACAATCCCAGTCCTCTGACCTCTGGTAACATCAAATCACTGTGTTTGTGACAATAATGATATGGAAACATTATTGCCTGGACTTGTTAATATTTGCATAAGACTTGTATATCTTATTTTTCATCTAGGTTGGAAGCATCTTAGGAGTAGGATGTATATTTCTTTTAATGCATGGTATCTCTTCTGTTCCATCAAGATATTTTATAAGATAGACAATGGGCTGCTATCTTTATTCATTTAATTTTTGCTTAAAATGGTCTTTATTTCTGTAGTTGATGTGCTAGTAGTATTAGGACCATTAGAGGAGCTGGCACATACAAAGATTCCTCCCCATGCTTACCCCCACATCTTCTCCTGCACTATTCTTTGCGAATTCTCCTCATTTTTAGTTGGTGAGAGAAGTGCTGCTGAATACCAATGAAGACCCTGCTACACACATATAGAAAAATGATGGAAATCCCCCAAGGGCACAACTCATGGAATAAACATGATCCCTGTAGTGTGCATTGCTGTTTCTTTACAGGCTGTGTGTGTGTGCGTGTGTGTGTGTGTGTGTGTGTGGATTGTTTTGATTGTGAGAGTGATCAAACCATGTTAAAACATCAGAGGAGCGTGTGAGAAGTGCACGGTACATCTAATTCTGGACCCTGCCGTCCTGGTTTGTGCTGTTACAGAGTGAAATTTGCCCATAGCTTTCGCTCTTTCTCAGGCCGAGCTGCAGAAGCTGAGACAACAAGCCCTGGAGACCAAACACTTCATTGAAAAACAGGAAGCCGAAGAGAGAAAACTCTTGCGCATTATTGCCGAGGCTGATGGGGAGAGGCTGAGACAGAAGAAGGAATTAGACCAGGTAGGAACATCTCCTCACCAGACCCACAGGCGTCATCAGCAGACACTACTGTTTGATTCAACTCTTCACAAGTGCGAATTCTTCTCTAAGCTCTTCCACTCAGTTTATTGGAAGAACAGTAGCAGAGGCTCATCTTCTCTTGATTAATTATGAAATATTTATTTATTCAAGTCATATCTACAAGTACTTACTGTGTGGCAGTCACTCCTCTAGGACCTGAGGATCCATTGACCAATAAGAACGTAAGATCCTTGTCTTCAGGGAGCTTAACATTCTAGTGTAATATAATTGCTTGCATATAACTGTAATTAATAATTACATAGTATGGGGATTACAAACATATGCTTTCAGAGAACAGGCAGGTTAAAAATAAAAAAATGGCCTGTGTAAGACAGTGAGGAGTGGTACAGTGTGGCAAGGGCTAGCCCACGCTAAGTCACTCAAATGGAAGCATTTATAAAACAATGGGTTGGAAAAAAACGACCCAACACCTATGGGCCAAGGATTATTGAATTATTATTACGATGAATTATATGTTGTACTCTTTCTAACAAGACTGCAGGTCCTCATGGGAAGAGTGCAGTGTTGATTGACTAGCAAACCATTTCCAGTGCCCCACTCACTGGGTGCGGAGCACATGTGGCCATTGGCTGGGTATTCATCGACTGAGTGAATGCTGCTGCCATAATGAAAAGTGAGACTTTTTGTCCCTTGGTGGCCATGTCCTCCCCTACCTCTCTAGGTCATCGGCGAGAGAGATATCCTCGGGTCGCAGCTCGTTCGTCGCAACGATGAGTTGGCTTTGCTTTATGAGAAGATCAAGATCCAACAGTCTGTGCTGAATAAAGGCGAGATCCAGTACAACCAGAGGCTGGAGGACATGAGGATCCTCAAGCTTGAGATCAAGAAGCTTCGTCGGGAAAAGGGGATTCTTGCCAGGAGTGTGGCTAATGTCGAGGAACTCAGGTAACAGGAGACCTCTCTGTGGGGAGTTCCTGAAATGACCTTTTTTTTGGAAATGTTTTTATTGTTTTTAGAGAGAGAGAGAAAGGGGGAAGGATAGAGAGATAGAAACATTGAGAAAGAAACATTGATCAGCTGCCTCCTGCACACCCCCCATTAGGGATTGAGCCCACAACCAGTGACCATGGAATTCATCCGGTGACCTCTTGGTTCATGGGTCCATGCTCAACCACTGAGCCACACCAGCCAGGTGACCTTGTGTTCCTTTTGTTCATCATTGAGGTCTTTATCAAGTTGTGTACAGTTCTTTATATGTTGAAATTACTGGCAAATAATAACAACAACTTTTCCATAATTCAGAATCTACATTGTGCCCCTTCTATGTCACAAAAAAATGAATTTGTTTCCTTTCAGGGGAATATAAGTGAGTACAAAAAGTTTTTTTTTTAAACTTTATTTTGGATTTAAAAGAAGAAATCTCAAGTCAAATCACAAATACGAACTAGTTACAATTCAGAAAAAAAATTTCCCCCAGTGAGCTCTTTAGACTTTCTTTAATAAGGCAGTTCCCAAGAGATGGAACATCAATATTTAAATTTAATCCTGGTAACATTTGCACATTTTTTCTCTTGGAATTATATTCAGAATGAAAAGGGGGGGTAAATTTAATTTTATCACTATTTGAAAACTCTGTTTCCTTAGAAGGTGGCCAAATTTTATTTCTCACTCTTGATTTATCTTCTGCAGCTTTCACTTTAGCTTAGTGCGCCTTCTTCTTGCTTTAAATCTTACACTATGTAAGATGTACTTTCCCTTTGGGAAAACATCACCATGTTTTATATAGGCAATTGCAGGAACCAAATAAGAGGTTTGGTGTTTTCTCAGTAACTATCTTTAGTCCCCACAGACTTATAGATGAACAGTATCCTTGACAACCTTGGAACAAGGACACCGTTTGGGTTGCCTTCTTAAATTAATCAAATTAGAAAATAGTTTTGATGTTTAGATGCAGTGAATATGTTCAGGAATAGCAAAGGAAGATGCCACTACCAAGGATATATCAATACTCTTTTTTCCCCCCTAAGGTTTGCTAGTATTTGAGATGATAAGAGTAATACAGATTCATTGTAGAAAATGTGGGAAGTGCAGAAACAATACAAAGAAGGAATTAGAAAAATTACTCATAAGTTTACTACCCAGAGATACATACCATCATTGGCATTTTGGAGACAAATGGATTCATTCTAAGTAGCTATTGAATGATCTCTGAGACCATTGCTAAACTTGCCAGCCATGAGTTATTTTTATTACATATACAGAGGACCAAATTCTACCCATTCCTAGTCAGGATTGCTGGCTTGTTGATAATAGATTTTATTTTTATTTTCAATGGGAAGACAACTTAATAAAGATATTGGAGGCAAGCAGGCATGAATTCTAATCTCAAGCTGTGTGACCTTGGGAAAGTCACTTAACGTCTCTGAGCTTTAATCTTGTAGTTAAAATTAAACATGAAAACAAACAATGTGCCTCCCACAGAGTCTAGTAGCTCATGCTCTTGCCCTTCTCTTCTGATGGCACTTTAGAAAATAGAAGTTTTAAAAATATGCTTTTAATTCCAAGCAGCTTGTTCTGAGCTCCCTGCTGAGTGAGGCTTATGCAGTTAATTCTAATGGTTTGCCTTGCTAATGAGGGGAAGTTGTATTATTGGTTTAAATGAAGCAATTAAGTAAAAGAGATGGCTTAGTATTGGTAATCTGCACACCCACAGCAGAGGACAGATAATAATTCCGTGTTGTCCATCCTTCCTGCCCGTTTCAATGCCAGCGCTTGTTTCTTCTCCACCACCGCCCCCCCGCCCCCCCCCCCCCGCAACAAAGTGACTCGTTCAATAGGGTGGTAGCCAACTCATGGGGTACTGGGGATGCCTGAAGCACATTGCCTACTAACCAGAGATCCCACAGATTTTAGTTTGAGTCAGAGCGAGTCTTTCAGCCACCTGTGTACTAGTAGTTATGGAATACCATATAATAGCAAACATCACTCCTAACTCAGTGTTTCTCAATCCTGGCTGCGTATTAGAAATTACCACTAGAATTATAAAACTTACAAAATCCAAGCCACATGCAAGACCAAGTAAAGCAGAATCTCTCTGGGGATAAGGGCCAGGCAAAGCATGTTTTCAGACCTCCCAAGGTGATTCTAATGGGCAATTAGGGTGGCAATGCCCTGGCCTACCTGGTGTCAGGCTATCATCTGAGCCTCAATATCTTGCAGTCAGGTGCCATACCTTGTGGTGGAAGGTAGCTTGTTCTCTTGTTGCTACTTGTAAAGACATTTAGAAACATTAAAAAGTATATTGAGCCCTGGCTGGTTTGGCTCAGTGGATAGAGCATCAGCCTGCAGACTGAAGTGTTCCCGGTTCGATTTCAGTCAAGGTCACATATCCAAGTTGTGGGCTCGATCCCCAGTTGCGGGGTGGGGGGGTGGGAGGGGGCGCGCGGGGGGGGGGGCGGGGGGGGGCAGTGCACGCAGGTAGGGAGGGAGCGTGCAGGAGGCAGCCGATCAATGATTCTCTCTCATCATTGATATTTCTCTCTCTCTCCCTCTCCCTTCCTCTCTGAAATCAATAAAAAATATTTTTTTAAAAAGTATATTGAAATCCTTGTAATTCACCTCCTCCCTGTTCTTTCCAGATACTTCTAAATTCCTTGGGTGTCCAGAATCATGATTCTGAAGTTTTGGCACTTTTTTTTTAAAGCTAAGCCTGAAGTTTGAGCTCTGCAAGAATCGGTATCCTCTGTGTCTGGCTCCGGTTAGGAGTCTGGTCTCAGTGTTCATAGAAGTCTCCTTACTTCCAACTTTTTTAAAAATATATTTTATTGATTTTTTACAGAGAGGAAGGGAGAGAGAGAGTTAGAAACATCGATGAGAGAGAAACATCGATCAGCTGCCTCCTGCACATCTCCTACTGGGGATGTGCCTGCAACCCAGGTACATGCCCCCGACCGGAATCAAACCTGGGACCCTTCAGTCCGCAGGCCGACGCTCTATCCACTGAGCCAAACGGTTTTGGCTACTTCCAACTTTTTATATAAGATGTAGCATATATGTAGAACCACATAAAGATATGATTTTCAAATGGGTAGAGAATTCCTTTGCAAATGAAGTGTGCCTTGTTCAGGCAGGAGCTTTTCCACATGCAGAGAGAGTTCATAAAGGAGCGGACCCGCTGCCGAGCGCTGGAGGAGGAGCTGGAGAACCCCATGAACGTGCACAGGTGGAGGAAGCTCGAGGTAACCCCTGGCGGAGCCTTCCTCCCGCGCCCAGATCCCTTCTGCTACCCCACAGGGCTTCACAGCTGAAGCACAGCAAGTGGTTTTATTGAATGTTATGCAAATTGTTCCCTAAAATGTCAGACTGGATCGAATGTAAATTGAGTTCCCAGAAGAAGAACAGGAGTTCCCAGAAGCAGATGGTTCACTTGGGGATTGTCTAACCCAGTGGTTCTCAACCTTCCTCATGCCGCGACCCTTTCATACAGTTCCTCATGTTGTGGTGACCCCCAACCATAAAATTATTTTCGTTGCTACTTCATCACTGTGATTTTGCTACTGTTATGAATCGTCATGTAAATATCTGATATGCAGGATGTATTTTCATTGTTATAGATTGAACAAAATGAAAGCATAGTGATTAATCACAAAAACAATATGTAATTATATATGTGTTTTCCGATGGTCTTAGGCGACCCCTGTGAAAGGGTCGTTCGACCCCCAAAGGGGTTGCGACCCACAGGTTGAGAACCGCTGGTCTAAACAGTCTTGGACACAATTCTTTCTGCCTAAAGAAGACTTAGTGGAAGTCGTGAACTGGCTTCACCAATGGACATTCGTTTTTCTCTTTTTGCCATTTTTTGCTCACATAGCTATCCCGTGGCTGCCTGTTAGTCTCAGGTAGTTCATTGCCTCTAGTTACATTGGCCATCAGTGTCTTCAACCATGTTTCAATTGGTCTTTGCATCTTTTTATTTCATGCAGGAAATAAGGCTCTTGTGAAATTGCCTTCTTTTTGAGGGACTAGCATTGTGTTAGCCAAACCTTTTCCCTTAGGATCTTGGGAGCACAAAGTCCATTGGTAGGTGTTGGATAATAGAGGCATACCTCACTTTATTGCTCTTCACCAGTGTTGATTTTTTTTTTTAAAAAAACACACTGAAGGCAAACCTGTCCACCAGCAAAAAGATCATGACTTGCTTGCTTTATTTGTGATACACGCTTTATTCTGGAACTGAACCCGCAGTATCTCCGAGGTATGCCTGTAAACCTCCTATTTTATTTTATGGCTTTCTGATAGACATTACCACCAGCACCGCAGGTAACAGTTGAAACCAGTCTCTGCTTATTCAAGAAAAGGTGGCCATAGCCTCTTGTTGTGCCCAGCAATGTGGGCACCAGTAGGGGCTTCGACTAATTGAACAATTAGGATATTGGGAGAGTATGTGTTTTCAGAAAAAGCAGGGCAAGGGTAAAAAAACAGCCAAGGTGTTTTTTGGTTTTTCATTTTTAGTTTTCCTTCTTAATGAAGAAAGGCATTAAGGATAATGCATTATAAATTGTTATATAAACATGGGGCCTGGATTTGAACAACATCCAGTCTTGCCAAGTGAAAGTGTGTGCCAAATGCAGTCCCAGCGTATGGGTATCACTCGGCACTGCTTAGTATTTTGTAAGCAAAGCCAGAGTTAATGGACTCTCCCCCCCCCCACTCTTTTGGACCCTCATTTATTCCTCTTCAACTGCCAAGAGTGGTGTAGTTTACCGAACTAACCGTAATATGGATGTGTAGGGAAGTGGAGCTGAAGATTTAAAATCCATTTACTGTCACATTAGTTTACTCCATGTGTTTGCAAGCAGAGCTTTAAAGTTTCCAATTCCATGTCAATTTCTATTTTAAAAATTAGAAAACAGAGATTGTGGGAGGCAGTTGAAAAGATTTAGCTGTTAGATTAATTCCAAATGTCAATACAGTTGAAAGGGAAGCTTTGGCTCAAAGTCTAGAGGACAGAATATCAATTTATAAGTGTAGATCTTGTTTGAATTGTACACAGATAGTTACTGAAGGTGCATCAAACCTTTATGGATTGGTAACACTGTTTGAGAGCGAAATGCCATGGACGTGTTCTGTTGTCAGTTATTAGCAGAAGTCCACATCCTAGAAAGCTTCCCCATCATAGGCTGTAAGGCATCTCCTTGTTGACAGTATCAAAGGAGAACCCTGAGGCTGAATGAATTAGGGAACCCTGTCTCATTCCCATGGAAACAGAGGTGATGGGAGGGGAAACCTCAGAGCATAAGTAATTAGAGCCTGGCATATCTGGGCTTGAATCCAGCTCTGACCCTTACCTGTGTGGGTGAATAACTTAATGCTTTGAGTTTCATGTCTCATCTGTAAAAGGGGAAGACTCATGCTACCTCTTAGGGCTGTTGTGTGGCTAAAATTGGATAATGGAGGAAAAGCACTTAGCATGGTGTCTGGTTGGTGACAAAGAATCAGGGATCATGCACAGTAGTTATCATTATTGCTGTTGTTATCAGTAGTAGTAGTTTCCTTGGTGGAGCAAACGTATTCACTTTCCATCTCTTGGCCAAGCAGAGTCAGTAGATAAGACATTAGCCAAACATCAGTCTGTTTTGATGACCATCTCATCTGTTACATACCCATCTCTCTGTACTGGGTCTGCAGGTGTGCAGTAGATTTCAATAAAACAGTAATTCTTTTTGCAAAGGGACCTCAAATGATGGTGTCTCAATGTCTTTTATTTTGTTCCCTTGAACAGGCCAGTGACCCCACTACCTATGAGCTGATAGAGAAAATTCACACCCTGCAGAAGCGTCTCATCAGCAAGACAGAAGAGGTGGTGGAGAAAGAGCTGCTCCTCCAGGTAGCGTTTTTCCCTTTCTGTTCTCATTGAACGAGCACGTTTTCTGAACACCGCCCCCTCCAGGACTGTGTTTTTTTTAGGATTCTTTGGCAGGGTTGCACGTCCCATTTTTAACTGTAGATGGCAACAGCGACTCACACACAGAGAACAAACAACCTGATTAATTGGTCGTTTATTCTGCCATCACTGATATTTCAAGAATTCTGGAAAACAAGTTCAAGGCCAGAGTTATTGCATTGGGCAATGCGCGCTCCCTCCCCCACTCCAACTTCTCTACCGTTCTCTTTGTTAGATTCATTTAAATACTTCTCCTCATATCCCCACGTAATGTGCAATGCCATGATTTTGATTTTGAAAATGAGCTTTCACATAAAGCACAGTATGTCCTCTTGAAGATTTGTGGGAGTGAAATGGAAAGAAAGATTTCTTTTTGAGGGTTTTAGGCAGTTAGTTATTCTGGAGCAATCAGGAATGGCACCATCCTTTTAGGCTTAGATCTTTGCAAGTACCTGCTGTCATCACCGTCAGCACCATTATCATCATCCTGCCAGATACTGTGCTGGTGGCTTTACCTACCTTGTCTCAGTTCCTCCTCGGAGGTCATGAGGGTGGGTGCTGTCATCTCCAATCAATGGGATGAGGAAATTGGGTCCCAGGAGTTTCGTGTGGAGAAGACTGTAAGCTCTGGTGTGAGATGGCCTGGGATGGAATCCTGCCTCTGCCAATTGGTAGCCCTGTGAGGTTTACTTCTCTGCACCTGAGGTACTTAGTATTACGGGATAATAATTGATGTGAAAAGGGATGTGGTGAAGATTGAAAGAGCTTAGCATTATGCTTGGCATACAGTAAGTGTCTAATAAGTATTAGCAATTATCCTTAATATTTCTAATTCCAAAGCACATAATCTTAACCACTGGGTTTATCATAAGAAAGAGTAGAAAATTCTGTATACAAACAAGGGGCATTTGCCCCTTCCCTTTACATTCTACCTTAAAAAAGACATCTTCCCTGAAGTTGGATTTACAGCAAGTAGCTTTCCAGGGTATTGCTGTGCTGAGTGGTCAACAGAGATGTTCCTATTGTCTTATAGATGAACATGATAGTTAAGAGGACCAACTTCAGGGACGATCTCGTCTTGAGTCCGCTCCAATTCTTTATCTCATGACTTGGGGAGAATTACCTAAATCCTTCAAACCTCAGTTACTCCATCTGTTAAATTGGGATAATAAGCCTCAGTTTCCTTATGGGAGGAAGGCACTCTCATCAGAGTCCACTACTTAGAAATCCTGTCATAAGAATAACCAATCAGTGCCTGGGCACTGGGGTCCAGCAGCCCAGGGTTTGAGCTGTGATTCCACCATTGCCGGGCACGAGTCACATGCCCAAGGCCGTGCGGCTAGTAAGTGGCAGAGTGGGGACTCAAACCAGGCAGTCAGCTCCAGAGCCCATGTTTTCTACCACTTCACCACCTGCCTCTCCAGCTATTATCACTTTGTTAGATTTAAAAAGAACCAGATTTTGTGTTTTGCCAAACCTCTCTATTATAAGTCCGTTTCATATTTCCTTGACTGCTCTAACTTTATTACTTTCTTCCTTCTGTGTACTTTGGGTTTATTCTGTTCCGTTTCTACTTAATATTGATGCTCAGCTCATTAATGTTCAATCTACCTTTCTAATATAAGCATTTACAGCTATAAAATGTCCTTTAATTTCTTTAACTCCTTCCCATATGTTTTGAAACGTGGTATTTTCTCTTTGTTCTAAATAAGACTTGAGTAACTCTTAAAAAATATTTACTATTTTTCCCATGGTAACCAAAAAAACCTCACAACTTTTAATTTCTAAATATACTAGTATATGTATTTAAGTTTTTCTTCTTTTTTTCTTTTTAAATCTTTATTGTTAAGATTATTACAGATGTCCCTCTCCCCCCCCCCCCCATTACCCCCCTCTATCTGGTTCCGGTCCCACCCCAAGCCTTTGCCACCCTATGTCTGTGTCCATAGGTAATGCATATATGCATATAAGATCTTTGTTTAACCTCTCTACCTACCCTGCCATCTTCAAATCTCTCTATTTAAGTTGTTTTTTATTATTGATTTCTCACTTTTATGCATTGTGGTCTCTAATTTGTTGAGACTTGCTGTGTGATCAACTAAGTGGACAGGTTTTATAACTGATGCCTGTGAGCTTGAAAAGGATGTGTACTCTCTAAATGTTCAAGAGTCAGGAATCGATATGATGTTCATCAGATCAACCTTGCTCTTTCCTAATTTTTTTGTCTCCTTAATCACTGAAAAAATGTTTGGAGATTTGTCTGTTTCTCCTTGTAGTTCTGTCATTTTATTTTGTTTTAAGTACATTTTAGATTATGTTTATAAGGTGAGTAAAAGGTGTGCATGGTTTTTATCTCTTCCTGATGAATTGTTTCTTTAATATTATGCAAGAATCCTCCTTAATTCTTAATGCTTTTACTTACAAAACTGCCTTATATTAATATAGCCCAGGTTTTTTAAACATTCTTTTTCTATAATTTTATTTTTATTTAAAATCTTTTAAAAATATTTTTATTGATTTCAGAGAGGAAGGGAGAGGGAGAGAGATAGAAACATCAATGATGAGAAAGAATCATCAATTGGCTACCTCCTGTACACCCTAAACTGGGGATCAAACCTGCGACCCAGGCATATTCCCTGACCGGGAATCGAACCTCTTGGTTCATAGGTTGACGCTCAACCACTGTGCCACACTGGCTGGGCCAAGATTTTATTTTCAGTAATTTTCTTTTTATTTTCTAGAGATTCTTTTTCACAAATCTTTGTTGATAGTGTCTTGATCTTATGCTTTATTAATTCATTTATGTTTTCAATTGATTTAAATATTTTATAGTTTTTATTAGATTATTCTATTACTTGGAGGTCTTCCTATTGTTTATTGTGATTGCTGATTTTTATTTGTGATGGACCTTTTCCCTATTATGTTATGATTTTGGATTGTAGACTAGTTTTCAGAAAGGCTTTATTTGTGGGACTTGGAATGGTCCAGGTTAAAGGTATATCTTCTCATTTGGTTCTACGAGGGACCTGGGATATATCTCTTGCTTAGGATAATTTTTTTAGGTTAAGTTCTCATTTTTGGGCTTCCTGGACCACTCCGTAAATGAATATTAGAACCCCAAACTCTTGTGATGGAAGATCCATGGATACAAATCCTCTGAGTAGCCATTGCCCCCCACCCCACCCAGAGCCTAGGAGAGAGAGGTTTCTTTATGGTCTTTCTGTCCCAGTGGGTGGATTTCTGTCTATTGTCTCTTTTTGTACTGAGGCTGTAACTCTTTTAAGTTCCCAACTTTATGTAGAGGAGTCTCAGTACTGATTACCCACTCCACACAGGCCCACCACCTCATCTTTTATCCTCCTGTGGCCATCAAAATCCAAGCTCTTTGCTCAGTGAGTACAGCCACTGTCCCAATCAGCCCCCAAGGGATAGCTGCAATATCTATTGATGGCTCCAATATACAGCTCACTCTTTGATTTTGATACTTTGAGGATCAAATTACTTGCTATTTCCATTTTGTGATGAAACAGATGTGTCATTCTATTTAGCATGTCTAATGCTTTGTAGACTTTAGTTTTCAGGTTACTTAGTCTGCCACACTGCCATAAACAGAAATTTCTTGTTTACTGTAATCGCTAGTTTCCTCATCCACAAAATGGGAAAAATAGTCGCCCCCACCTGCAAAATTAAATATGTTAATTAAGTACATATAAGGTTTGTCACAGTGTTTAGATATCATTAACATTATTATGATGACTAGAGACCCAGTGCATGAAATTCATGCACTGGGGGCAAGGTTCCTCAGCCCAGCCTGTGCACTCTTGCAGTCTGGGAGCCCTACGATGAATCGCCCCACAGAGGGAGACCCCACCCACCCACCACAGTGCCGCCGGCCAGGTATCCTGGCCCTCCCACTGCGGGACGACCGATCACCCCAAAGAGGTAGGCCCTGCTCACCCAGCCAGGGCTCCACTATGGATTGCCCCCACAGAGGGAGGTCCTGCCCACCCACCCTAGCACCACCGTGGGGTAGCCTGGACCTCCCTGTTTGGGGTGATCGTGGAGCCCCCGAATGATTGCTCTGCTGGCCTGTGGCCTGGGCCTTCCTTTGCGGGGCAATCATGAGGCAATGGCGGGGCCCCTGACCAATTGCATCGCACCTGCCTTGGTTGGCCTGGTGCCAGTGGGTGTCATAGCGTGATTGTCTGGATGGTCGTTCCACTGTTTGGCTGTTTGGTCAATTTGCATATTACACTTCTATTATTATAGATGATTATTAATATTACTACTCACCATGCAGTTGTTTACAGGCCTCCAAAGTTTAATATCTTCCTCACTTCCTTTATTCAAGTCCTCGTTTAACCTTTCTCTTGGATGGTTGGGTGGCTTGTACATCCCCAGACAACAAGCCTTGTTATCTTGGTGAAGCCTCAGGTGTTCCACGGGATTTGACAGTTTCTCATTTTCATCTGTTTTATCAAATTATTAGAGAAATTCTCTGCACTCACAATAGAACATTTTGTAATTAGGAAGATTTTTGGTTGAATTCTTCTGAGTATCAGAACAATTTAAAAACGATCCCATCATTTCCCAGCAGGAGATATGATGGAAACCTATTTACCTCCAGTAAACTGAGTTTTTTGAGGAAAAGCTGTTGATAATTTCTCTCTCTAACCCCAATGCCCGGTGCAGTACCAGGCACATAGTAATTGCTCAATAAAGATGGACAGGCTCTGTGCCTGGGCAATTTCGACTCACCCTTTAGGTCTTAGCTTAAATGCTTTTTCCTAGGGGTAGAGGGGTGGGCGAGGGCTCTTTGTAAATGTTCCCATATATTGTCTTTTCTTTTATGCCACTCATCACACTTGTAATGAATGAAATAATTATAATTGTGTGTTTAATTATTCTTTCCCGATAGACCACTCACAAAGGCAGTTCCTGTG